TTTCTCATCATTCGTTTTCAGGCAAGTAAAATCTTCATCATAAGCGACTCTAGTATTGTTAATCTGTTTAATTGATTGAAGTAAAATGTTAGTAATAACTTTAAACAGATCATAATAATTTTAAAATTAATCATTACCTCATTTATATTTTTTACTATAATTATAGTATGTCTAGTCGATAGATTCCATTCATATATATTACTATTTAAATGCAGCCATATTTTATTATGGTTTGATATGCTTAATACCTCTGCTTCTTTAGGCATCCTGTAAAACTTTCGACACTTGAATTTTTTGCGTGTTATGTTGTATGTATAAACACAAACAATGTTTATATCATTTTTATTGTTTCTTTTGACAGAACAAAATAATATCAGTTTTCCTTTTTGATTGAAGTTACAACATTTTACTTCCATTTCAAAATTCAATTTGATTTCTTGAAGTCCATTGTTCATATCGATGATTTCTAAAAATAACAATTATTATTGAAATAATCACTAATTTAATAATTAAAAACTAGAAAACCGTTATACTTACTGATTTTATGTTCATCATCAATATACGCAAGTATCTTTTTATCCTTTTCATCATTGATACACATATCGACAATATTACTCTCTTTATTCTTGCAAAATATAATATGTTGATCATCTAAACGATCTAAACGTTTGCTTTCTATTACTTTTTTAAAACTTTCAACCTTCCACACGCAAAATGTTTTATCATCTTCACTGTAAGTAACAAGAATTAGTCCATTCGGTGAGATTTTCATCATACTAATAGGTTTGCCATTATGTGGAGTTTCATTATATGATATGTTGACAGACACATCATTATTCATTTTTGAAACAAAAATTTAATATTTGAAATTAAGAAAAAATTTGGATAGATTATATTTTAAAGAAATGAAACTATAGAACCATCAACTTCAAGAACAAGCTGATTAAATAGAGATATTAGAGGCTAAGTTTTTTTTCGCATTCCGCCAAAACTAAAAAGAAAGATATTTCAATAAGCCTTCCCGAATTAACAAAAATACGCTTTCGGAAAAGCCATTTGGGAAAGGTTGAAACAGAGTCGTAGATATTTTTTATTAGGCTATAATAAAATTTAAGCCATCCAAAAATTCTACTGCGGTTGATAAATGCAATGGTGATCGACATTATTTTAGTAGCACAACAATATTTTTTTATTGAAATTTCTAAATCGGTCTTCGACCGATAACATACAATTAACTTTTAGCACAATGCTAGCAGCTATGGGCTATGCCCGAATTTAGTGCATTGACGCCACCATCCGGATTACGATCCACTCATTAAATAATAAAAATAATAACATGTCTTTATCCAGAATTCGGTTTAATGTGAAATCCTGGTTGGATCTATCACCGCATCTGGAAAACTGATACAATCTTGGCGTCTCATAAAATCATCGTTGCATTATTAGAAATGGTGTGCCATAAATGTACAGGGCCGGGAATACTTAAATTGGCCTGTATTAATGTAGGTATCGAATCGGGGGATCTTGGCTTGTGATTGAGAAGGAATAGCCGTGAAAAAAAAATATAAAGCCATAAGGTAAATTAAAATGCTTTAAACTTGAATATAATTTTGGTTTGACAAACCTTGTCATACTTTACTCTTCACTCTAAGTACAACTGTGCACCGCCACTCGCTCCGATTATCTTTTCTATACTTTTAGATTTCATATTCGGGAGAAATTAAACATATACGTGTGAAGCCACCATTGGTGTTATGTAACAAATGTTTGCGTAAGCTTTACTTACAATTCCGTCATAGTTTTTATCGGCAAATGAATCTAAAAATTCATTTTCAATTCTATCAAAAGATAATTCTACTTTATGAGAAGCAATGACTTTCTTTTTTTGGCTTTAAAAAAATCCAGAATTATGAAATTGCAATTTACGCAATAATCAATGATGCGATGCAAATTACATGAAATTTATATAGAATCTGATAAACCAAGCTTAATAATTTTAGACGAAATAAAATCCTACTAACCCAATTAGGGTCTTCTGCATCAACCTTTGTCCCACCTAGAGGTGCGATCAATGAATCCGATCTATCCGATCAGCCATCCGATCAAAAATTGGATCATCCGGATAAAAACAATTTGATCCGTTGATTGACCAGATATCTATTTTATTTTATATATTTTTATCGACGAAGATTTGTAATACAGTAATAGGACGATTTTAACAATTATTTTTACTCAAAGGTAATTCTCAGTTTTATATTCAAATTTTATTATATATTACGAGAAAAATGCAATAAAAAATAATGATAATAAATTTTTAAAGATCGGTTTTTATTTTTGGAATATGTTAAAAATGTATCTAACGCATAATTATTTTAAATATTTACATTTATCGTTTTATATAATTGCAACACGTGATTTAAAGTAATTTTTTTTATTTTTATTTAGTCATTGTGATTATAATTTATAAGGTTACACCCGATCATAAAATTTCATTGGGCAATTAGAACAAATATGATAAATTTTTCGCTCACGAAATGTCATATGATCGTCAATACCATAATCACTCTCTTCCTTCAAAATAATTTATTGATAATAATAATTTTCTAACCATTTTCATTTTATTATCCTTTTGCGCAGCTAAAATGTTTGCATCTTAATTTCCTTGTTTACATTTGCGTAATATAATGATTTTTAAAATTCTCTCATAAGCGTGAACTGCAGTCATAATGCTTGAACATTAATATTAATACTTTGTAAACGTGCTAGCAGGTCCTATTCTTATTCGTGATGTTAATTAATAATGTTTTAAAAATTATTTTACCAAATTTTTTTTTATTTAAACAAAATAAAAAAATAGATAATCCTAACGTTATGATCGGACGCGTAAAATTAAATTTACAAAAATTTGGACCATTTTATTGAAGGTAGTAAAGCATAAATGATTTTCCCATACTTAATGTTTTTTGAGCACGAAGATATTTTATTTTAGAATTACTATAAAATATGCGTACAAATTAACTTCAATATACTCGATCGGTTAAAATAGGTTTTGCGACAGAATGCTGCATAAGCTACACCTTAAACCATAATTTTATTTATACTTTAATATATTTTATTAGAAGGAAAAATGTATATAATTTTTTTTAGCTAAATTAAGCCTATTTATCCATATCATCAGCATCGATATTCGCAGTATTCGCAGTCTCGTTGTCACCTCTTTTACCACCTTTAATTTTGAATATGTAATATTTTCCAATAACTTTACGTAGAATACTTAAACAGGTCGATATAAGAGTTAATAAAGGTATAATATCGTAATGTATCGTTCTTTTAAGATATACAATCTATTGAAATTTAAAAAATTATTAACAAAAAACAAAATAAATAAATAAACAAATAAAATAAAAATTCATACCTGAATAACCAATTGAGGGATATCTTCAAGAAAAATGTTCATGTAAGAATATTTAGCAATTCTAATTAATGCATTTATTGAAAAATTGGCATTAAACTTATTAAATCCTTTAACATTTATGTTGGAATTAAGAACATATAAAATTTCAAGATCGGATCCTGCTAAAATCGTAAATATTGTTTTGATGTCATTTTCTTCATTTGACCATTTCTCAAAGTCTGAATTTTTTGAATTTGATTCATCGTCAATGATTATAATTGCAATTATTAAACTTAATGAAAACGAAACCATTAAAATTACAACACTAAAGGAAAAGAATTATTACAATAAATATTTTATTTTAGTATTTACTTTTAATATAAATTTATACAGAAATTGCTTACTTTGGAATAAACAATCCGACATTGTTGCCTTTTGTAATAATAAAAGCCAAATCCAATACAAAATCAATTAAAACAAAAGCGATTTGAAAGATTGCAAAATAATTTACCTAAATAGTAATAAATGAATATGTTAATAAAGCTATTTTCTTAAAAAATTAAAATTTTTTATTTTATTATTGTTATTTACATCTTTTTTATCTCCTGTGCCAAAATATTTGGCGACAAAGAAAAGTACAGTCAATAATAATAAGACTGCAAATGCTATACTGAGGCCTGGTCCAAAAGTGTCCCACTGACCGGCTATTTTTAAATTAATAAGTTAGCTATTAATTTTTTTATTTAGAGAATTCTCTCTAATTAAACACTATCTCATATAATAATTAATAATAAAATTCTTACGATGTTCGTGATATCCATAAATATCATCTAAATACTTTGAAGCTTCACCGGATGCAATAACAGTGACTTCCTTATTCTTAATCAAATAATCTAAATCTTCAATTGCTAATTTAGCAGTTCTTTCTGTTCTAGTTTCATCTTTTTTGATCTCAATAGGTAAAAGTATTTGAGGAGACTTTGTGTCAATTTCAAAATTTTCATTGGTAAATATACGATCGTGACCGACGGGAATTGCTTTAGCCAATTCTAGAATTAATTTCGTAAAGAATATTTTGCGTTCGCTCTTGTGATTTTTAAAATATTCAGTTCCTTCTACAGATAATCTAACTTGTCCACTAACGCTCTCTGAAAATTCTTCTTTTTCTGGAACTATTTGAAAATGATTAAATGTATAAATGAAAATACAGAAAGAAAATTATTATTGCTTAAATTGGAAGAACCATAACTTACGTGTTGTGAAAGCCAAAGCATGTTCTTTTACACCATAGAGAGGTTCTTGATAAATTCGGCTCTTTACAAAATTATTTTCAATTGAAATGTAGTAATTTGCACCAGGATTATTCAATGTAGATTTAATTATTTCAACAAAAACGGTGGTTCCATCATCATCACTTTGAGTTACTCGTTTGTCGGTTCCAGGAATGGTTTGACGCAAGTTACCATTTTCTTGATAAATGTTAATGTTTCCAGTTGACAAATCAATATCATCAAAATATTTAATTGTAAGAATTGTAAATGATCCTGTATCGAAAGAAATGTTCTCTTTTATGTTCGGATATATAGTGTCGATGTGGAAATTATAATATCCATGATCTAGAATATTAATTATAATTTGAAAAATTAAATTACTGATTTTTATTTGAAATTATTTTTTTTTTGTTGGCGTTATTATTTACCTCTTTCTATCTCAAATTGATTCAATTTAGTGGTGACCAGTGCCCAGTATGGTTTATCTGCAGGCTGAGCAAGTACATAAGTATTATTTCTCAAAACTTTCGATATACCGATAAAGTTTGTCACGGTATGAATTGGAAGCTCCCAACGAAAGAATTCTCCATTTTCACCTAATAGATAACCGGTAACTATATTATTACCATCTGATGATCCCACTCCGCTTAACAGATAACCACCATATGGTAATGAGGCAATAACATATTGATTGATTAATGGATCCGTTTGAATATTACTCGTCAATGGATTAACGTTGTATACGGTTCCAGATGAAAGAAAATCAATCTTAAGATAAAATGTTTCTATAATTGCTTGAGTTGTAAATTTGCCTGTTACAATACATGTATGTCCAATCCCTACGTATGAAACACTGCAATCAATGTCAGTAAACTTTAATCCTTGAATTTGAGTTTGATAAAGAACAGCTGGTTCTCGTTTAGTTGCATGGTCATTTTCTAAGATAATAATGTAGACTCCTCCTCGTATAGTAAAAGGATTGTCAGATGTTGCCTCATCTGTAGAATTAGCATATACAATCGCGTATCTACTGTCCACCATTGGAATGACATTACTTATAAGGCTAAAATTCTCTTTAAACATTATGTTGTCTTGCGCACGAAGATTTATTTCTCCTTCTACATTCCTTCATCAAAAAATTAATAAATTCATAAATTAATAAATAAATAAATGCAA